CAACTGCCATGTGATTGGTTCATTAGATAATTGCATTAATGAGAAATTGAACAGGTGTTCCTAATAATCCTTTAGGTGAGTGTATATATATGTATAGATAGACATTTTTGGGATACAGTGATGTTTTGCACTTAAGTCTCGCTCTTTGCAACCGCTTATGCCGCTTTCATTACTTTCCTTTCTCTTATCTGTTGGTTCTGCTATCTGATGTTTTATGCATCTGTAACTCCACATCTCGTGTATCCTGCTATTTCTGGTTTATAATCCTTATAGATAGAATGTAATGCAAGTATACTAACAACGATGCCCTTATTTTCTCCCACCCACACATGGTTCTCAATCGTCTGTCCAGATTATCTGCAGATATCTACTACAAGAAACAGATCTTGCTGAATCTGATAAATTCAAATTTAAATAACCAAAGTGATTAAATCAGTAAAGTATTTTCAGCCCACAACACTACACAAAGATGAGTATGCATACTTATTGGACATTGCATAATTATAAATATCACAATCAGCAACAGACCCATGACAATTGCTAACTTTTAAAGCTCTAACATTGACACTCCTCTATTATATTTGCAGGTGTTTTCAATACTGTATTAAACCCTTCATTGGACATATCTACTAGTTCAACAAAAAAGAGGTGCATGGCATACCTCTGATACACTAATGAATGATTTTAGCCTTAGCGACAACTGGAGATTACAACATCCTTTAGCTAAAGAATTCTCTTTTTTTTCCCCCAGGTACATACTCCCGTATAGACCTCTTTCTAATTAGTAATTCTCTAATTTTGAATGTCTCAAATTCCAAAATTTACCCGATCACTGTAAATTATCATGCCCCGGTGTCATTAACTTGCAATATGAATAAGTCTTATAAACCAATCCCTACATGCCATTTTAATTTCTCTGTCCTTGATGACTCTGTTTGATAACTAAATCAAATGCGAGTGGACATCCTTTCTGGAGATGCATGATTCCCCAGAGTCATAATCTTAACTACTTTGGGAAACCGGAAGGAGTATATTTAGAGGAAGAATTATTTCATAGTCCACCTATAAGAATAAAGAAAGAACAAGAAGCAAAGTTGCAGAGGAAAATTAGAGAACTCGAAAACACAGGAGTAAACACCCCAACTGAACAAACACAGATTGACTTGAGGAAATATAGATCTCAACTAAATGAACTCAAAAATAAACAAACTTGTTTTGTAATACAAAGACTGCGGTATGAAAAATTTGAATACAGCAATATGGCTAGGATACAGAACAAAGAAAAAAACAATTATTCCAGCTATCCAAAACTCAACGGGGAAGCTCACTGTCCACTAGAAATGAATAACACCTTCAAAATCTTTTATGAAAACCTTCATTCAACTGAAAATGAACCAGAACAAGATGAATTTCTTTCTCTTTCTTAACAACATTAATCTACCAAAACTTACTGAATAATAAAACTTCCATTCTTGACTCCCCTATTTCAATCAATGACTGGTTCTTTACATAAGAACATAAGAAATTTACAAACGAGAGGAGGTCATTCGGCCCATCAAGCTTGTTTGGGGGGAATTTAACTAATAGCTCAGAGTTGTTAAAATCTTATATAGCTGATTTAAAGGAACACAGGGTTTTTTAGCTTGCATTACCTGAACAGGAAGACTTTCCCATACTCTAAAAATGCCTAATAACAGAGCACCTGGATCAAAAGCCTTCCATGTTGAGTTTTACAAACACTTTTGGTCTATTTTAGCTCCATTATTAGAATGTTAGCAAAATTAATTCAGGCATCAAAATTCCACACCCATATGAATACTGCTTCTAGCTCTCTTCTCCAAAAAAATAATAAAGACCCGACCCTACCTTCCAGTTATTGCCCCCTCTCACTCATTAAAACAGATGTTAAGATCATCAGTAAGGCATTAGCATTAAGGCTTGAGAAAGTCATTCCATTTATTATCCATCCAGATCAGATTGGCTTTGTTAACAAAAGATATTCATTGCATAATGCATGAAGACCATTTAACTTAATTCATATTTCTACATATCAACATTTACAGTATCTCACAAAAGTGAGTATACCCCTCACATTCTTGTAAATATTTTATTATATCTTTTCATGTGACAACACTGAAGATATGACACTTCGATACAATGTAAAGTAGTCAGTGTACACCTTGTATAACAGTGTAAATTTGCTGTCCCCTCAAAACAACTAAATACACAGCCAATAATGTCTAATTGTGCCAGGGATAGGCTCTTTTGGGGTTAAGCGGTTACGGAGATGGATGGATGGCTGAGCTTATACAATACAAGGTTATCCACAGAGTCCACCTCACTGGTCATAAGATGTTTAGAATGGACTATCACAGTCTAATCCTGGGTATGACAAACTGCATCCGGCCCTGCCAGCGGTCCTCCAACTAGCAGGGTAATCATTTTTGGGGGTTGGTGGCTGGATTGGAACTTCAGCCACCCTAAAACAACTCACAGCTGCTTGATATAAACAGGCACGATACCCTTCTGCTCTCCATAGGAGTAGCTCTGCTACAGCCACCCACAGGAAGGCTACATGCACCATGAAGGGGATAGGGGAAGCCTTCAAGAGCCTCATCCCCGGATAAGTCGAAACCGTCGGAGAGCTAACAGGGTCAGGCCTGTTGGGGATGGGGGCTTGTGTGGTGCTGAGGCTTTGCATGCTGCATGGTGGCACTTGGGGCATAGTTTGAGCTAGCCCATCCGAGTAGGTGCGTGGAACGTCTTGTCTCTCCGGCAAGATGACCATTTTCCTCTGCTGTTGGGGAAGCTTCATAAACTCCACATTTCGATGGCAGCACTCTCTGAGGTATGCAGACCAGGGAGTGGCCAGATCCCTGTAGGTGGGTAT